AATAAAAACAAATATTACACATTGAGATAAACATCCCACACTGATTAGATAACGAGGTAAAGTTAATTAATCCCATCATGTAGGAACCTCCAGGAGGACTAGCCAACATACAGAAACAATAGGTGACTCAATTAACAAACAAATACACAAAGGTAAATACATAACACCATAATAAACAGATTACAGCAAGAGACCTCAGCATCAGGTTATTTTGACCTGATTATATTACCATCTGCTCTGAGTCTCTGATTCTAGGAGCGGGGTTGAAGCAGTCAATGCTGGTTTGGGTACAGAGGCCCAAAATCTGTATCTGGGTCCTGTAGTTCTTAGAGTCTGTGTATTTTGGGAGACATGGACTTGAATCTGAAGTAAAACTACTCCAAAGGTCCCCCAGGCACACACCTCCTAAAGAATAGAGCCCCTTCAGATGCCAGGGCCCTTGGTCAGTAGGCAAGAGGCTAGCCTGCAGTTCCCTCCAAAAGCCCCTGTCCTGGTTGGGTCTGTCACACTGGAATTGATGTATAACTTCTGATCCTGCAGGACGTTTGAGGTTTCTTAAGGTGATACTGTATTTTATTACTTTCTTTAACCCTTTAGAGTGTTTAACTTTTCTTTTATACACATTTACTGCCATTCTTGTTGCACTTGCCCTCATTATATTTTGACCTTAATATAACCAGAATATCTGCTCTCTCTAAAATGTGTTTATTTTATGGTTAAAAGCCAGTGGTCTGCCTAGTCAAATATTCATGATGGTGTCAGCCGAGGCTGTGCTTTCACATCCGTCTCAGGACAGACAAGGAATCCAAAAATACTCAGCGTCTCTCAAGAGGGTAGTACTACTTACTAAAGGAGTAGTGAATGTTCACTTTTAAAATCCAATCATGTACAAGGAAAATAGAAAAAACAGGATTTTTGACTGCACATGTCTGAAGGATTGCAGCAAACACAACTTCATTTTATTAGTCCTTTAATAAATTAACCCCAATGTGTCCAATAAAGTAATAAACAGACCAAATATTCTTAAACTCTGTTACTATTATTAGATTTATTGTAGGAATGAGGCAATTAGTGAGAACTCATGCACACTGGGTGTTTAACCTGGTATATGAGGCTCTGGCATTCAGATGTTCCATGCAGTAGGTGCCCAGGGATGAATGCCCAGAATGCAGGACCGCTTGCTTCTAGCCACAGCAGCTGTCAGCTACTCATTGACTTTGACAGACTGCTGGCTGTGGGGATGGACAGTGTGCCTGTCCCCAGAGCTTGTACCTAAATGCAGGAGCCTCATGCACCGGGACTAAACATCCAGTGTGCACGAGGTCCACTAGTAGAGAGAACTTGTCTGGAGAGGAATGCAGAGGCAAACTGAAGCAGGTATGCAATAAATGGTCAGAAACTCCTCCCACATCAGTTACCCAAAGCATCAAAGCCATTGTATTACCATGAAAGCAAAGCAATTGAGGATCTTAACCTAATATACTGAGTGAATATTCACTTCAATTGCTTTGTTCATGTGCACATGATTGGGTATTCAAAGTAAACAGGAATTTGTTTTTTATTTTAGAATACTTTTTGTTCCATATAAAAAAATCAAACACCACAAGAAATTTTGCTTTTAGCTATGAATAGATTAATTGAATGAAGATTCTCAACACTTTAGTGAATCATCCTCATTCTCTCAGGGTGTAAGGAAATACCCTTACTTTGTCCCAAACAGTTAAGATCCACCAGTAGTTTGTAGCCTGCCTAACTCCACATCACTCCAAAAAGAGAAATTTGCTTTGGGTATATTTTGTTCTTTAATAAGATAACATGAACAATCTGCAACTGAGCCAGAAAGAAATTTAAGATAAAAGGAATAATCATTGATTACTGGACATACTGAACTATTAGGTATCAATAGCAAACTATTCCTTTGTTCAATTAGTAAATTAATTATTGTATAAGAAAATGCTTCTTATAGCTGGGTAAAATATTACCTTCTACATCATTAGTGGGCAACTGTGGCCCTCCAGCTGTCGTGGAACTACATGTCCAATGAGGCATTGAAAGGCTGACAGTTGCATCATGACTCGCAGAGGCATGATGGGACTTGTAGTTCCACAACAGCTGGAGGGCCACAGTTTGCTCACCCCTGTTCTACATGCATTCTATGTATAAATTCTGAAAAGAATAAATCTTCAAACCAAGTGATGCTGTAACCATCTGTAAAAACAGTACTCAAAATCTTAAATAACATTAGACCAGTACTCAAAAAGTGAAGAATGCTGTTGTATAGGGGATACATAGTACATTTTACATTTTATCTAAGTAACTTCTACCTTTTGCCTTTGTATTCCTACTGAAAAATAACAGGGCTTTTCCTGGTATGTGAGAATGCCTAGACACTCCTGCACCTTGAGCCTTTATAACTGTATATCTGCAGTGTGAGACCTAGGACACTGCTGCCTCTGACTGCTAATCCTATGAGATTTGGGTAAGATGTGGTGATGTCACTTGCTGGAGAGGACGATGTACCTGAGAAAGTGTAGTTCAAAGGTCCCCCTGCTCCTGCTTTATCCATTTGGTGGATGTGTGCTTCCTCCACCTCTACTATGCTCCTTGATCATTACCGCACCTGCTATCTGATCTGGGGCAGCTCTGACATGGGGAAGCAAGGTCATGTTCCAGTACCAAAAATAACCATCTCCAACCAATGCAGAACAAGGCATTGTAAGTAATAAATAAAATATTAAGGAAACGTTTATCTGCATGGAGCCTACAGGCAATACTAGTGACGAGTCCTTTACACTTCACTAGCCTTTTTTTGCTACTTCTTTCACAGTACAAGTTTTTTGTATGCTAACAACAGTCATTTCTTGCTTGTAATGATTATGGGAAGTGTATCATGAAGACTGTATTAAAACTGATATAAATAAACTTCTTAGGGGCCTTTTATGGTCTAAAATTGTCTCCATTGAAAATGTATAATAACAGGCTGCTATGTTGGTGGTTGTAAGCTCTGTTCTAATCTGGAGAGAGTGATGAAGGGTGGGAGATTTGTCGGTTGAATTTGTATGGTCCTTGTGAGAGAAGTGGGAATATTATAATCTGAGGAGGGGACTGATAACGATGGACATGTAATCACTAATTGGTGTCCCCTCAATCCTAGGAGAGCACAGTATTGTCAGACTTGCTCCCCCAAGGTAAAGGGCATAGGAAAAAAGATGGAAGAAGAGAAAAGACTTACAGAGAAGAGTCTTAAAGTGATATTAAAGGTTTGTTTGTTTTTTTTTAAATAAACAAACATTTCATACTTACCTGGTCTGTACAGTGATTTTGCACAGAGCGGCTCTGATCCTCTTTTTCTCAGGTTCCTCAACAGCACTCCTGGATCCTCCGCCTTGACCAGTGCCCCCAAAAGCAAGCCACTTGCTATGGGGCCACTGGTGTGTGCTCGTTCCCGAGCACCACTCTATGCGTACATAGGACACATAGAGTTTGTCAGGAATGGACTTGCCAGTAATGGTGGGACTCACCTGCCTTGTGGGCTGCAGTACCAGGCTGGCCAGCGGGTGCTCTCAGCAATCAGAGACTCAACCCTGCAGTCAGCCAAACACCTGAAGCTGATTATGCAGGTGTATTTAAGGGATGGCCAGACCTGCAGTCTGTGCCTTGGTGTGTGTTTTATCTATGGGCCCCTGTATCTTGGGAGTGGTTTGGTTTTGGTTCGTTTGCACTGTGTTTATGTTTTAGTATTGCCACTGCGTTTATGTAATTGTTAGTATTAAATAAATTATATCATTGTATAACATATCTGAAGCCTGCGTTTTCCCTGCGTCAGTTCTCTTACCTCTGGTCATACCCGGAAGCCTGACAGAGTGTCACGGGCTCAAACCTGTCCCTGCTTTCTCCTCATTGGTTCAACTGGGCTGTGTTGTTTGACAGTAGAGTGGGTGCTAATGGCTCCCATTTCTGTGTCTAAGACATATATGGAGAGAGAGATCTGGGGGACAAGCCGAGGGATTGGATCGAGATGGGGCTCAGGTAGGTGAGTATTAGGAGGGCTGTTGGGGGGAGCAGCATACAGATGGTGTTTACCTTCATGCAGGAGTATGCACAAAGGTAAAAAAACATTCAGCCTTTACAATAACCACTTTACTTTAAATTATACTGAGAAGTGTTTTAAAGAGTTGTAAAAATCTACAAAAAAAGAGTCTTAAATTTATACACGAGAAAAGTGGTTAGGGGTTCTATTTATAAAAAGCTTTGCATAGTCATTCATTGGAGCAAATTTTGTACATACATTGATGCCATGCATTATTGGGAAAAAAACAAAGGTTATTAGCTTATTGGTCTCTTCTGATAATGTAGTTTGATTAAAGGAAGTAGTTTTATAATTGCTACAATATGGACTATTAGAAGTAACTGAGGAAGATTTGAAGGTTGAACTGAGCAATACACAGGTCTTTATAACGAGAATACATTGTAAACTAGAGATTGAGCGAAGTATTCAAAAATTTGATTCGGTCTGATTCGGCGGAATATCGGGGGAAGAATTAAATTGGATTCCCGATGCGTAATATATTCTGCTGCGTAATTGTAACTTATATAAAAAGGGTGTTTCTAAGGCTTCAGAGAGAGCTTTATATATAGTGCAGCAGACACTGTACCTTTAATTTAAATGCCCTTGGGAGTCTGCTGGGGAAGAGAAATAATACTGTCAATAAGTTATGACATGCAGATGAGTGCCTGTCGATCTTAGAATCACCTCACACTTCATACTCATTTGGGCAGTCACGGGGCCAAAACCAGAGTGTGGAAGCCACTGTGTGGCGGTGGTGGAGGCGCAGCAACATGGGAGGCCATTACCAGCACCCTATGGACAAAATGGAACCCACCAGCAGTGTGAGGAGACCTGAATGTGGCACATGGCCTGAGTGTGGCGACTGGAGACAGAAGCAATGGGATCGGCCGTACAGGGACCCATGACAGATTACGGCCTGGCAGCAGCAGAGGAGCGGTTCAGGGGCCCATGGCAGATTACGGGCCTGGCAGAGCAGCAATGGGAAGCCCGTATTCTGCCAGCACCCTATGGACAAAATGGAACACACCAGCAGTGTGAGGAGAACTGAAGTGGCACAGCAGAGTGTGGCGATGGAGACAGCAGCAATGGGGTAGGCCGTACAGGGACCCTGAGAGACTCTGGACCTGGCAGAGCGCCATGTGGAGGGGGGTTCGGGGGCCCATGGCAGATTAGGGCCTGGCAGCAGAAAATGGGAGGACCCGTAATTTTGCCAGCACCCTATGAAAAAAAGGGAACACCCAGCATTTGTGGGGGGACCGGGAAAGGGCAAAATGGGGGAGTGTGGGGGAGGGGAGACAGGGGCAATGGGAGGCCTTTTTACGGGGGCCCCATGAGAGCCTCTGGACCTGGCAGCCCCATAAAGGAGGGGGTTTACGGGGGCCCATGGAAATTTTAGGGGCCCTGGCAGCAGAAATTTGGGAGGCCCGAAAATTTCTGCCGCCCCTTTTTGACAAAAGGGGAAAACCAGCAGTGTGGGGGAGACCTGAAAGTGGCACAGGGGCGGGAGTGGGGCGAGGGACGGGCAGCAATGGGAGGCCGTCCGGGGAAAACCCATAAAGGGGAATTTCGGGACCTGACAGCACCCATGAGGAGGGGGTTTGGGGGGGCCCATGGCAAAATTACGGGCCGGGCCCAGAAGAAAATGGGGGGCCCGAAAATCTGCCAGACCTATGAAAAAATGGAACACACCAGCGGGTGTGAGGAGCCTAAAAAAGTGGCACAGGGCAAGAGTGTGGGTGTGGAGAGGCAGCAATGGGAGGCCGTACGGGGGCCCCATGAAAAGTTTAACGGGCCTGGGCGCGAAAGGGAGGAGGGGGGTACGGGGGCCCGGGCAGATTAGGGGGCCCGGGGCAGCAGCAAGGGAGCCCCCTTTATGAAAAAAAAGGGAAACCCCAAACAGCAGTGTGGGGGGACTTAAAATGTGCAAGGGCCCAGGATTAACATGTTTGGGGCATGATTCAGGGCCCGGATTTAGTAATTTGAGGTCGGAATGGTGGTTTAAAATTTCCAGCTAATCCACGCCTGTTTCATTTTCACAAACGTGATTTCCTCCACATTTTGGGTGGACAGTCGTGTCCTCCGGGGAGTTCCCAATTTACCTCCTGCCCGCACAAAACAGCGCTCCGTTTGCAGGGCTAGGGCCCGGGGGCATGACACCCTTTCAAGGGAAATTCAGTGGGGGGGGGCCCCCAAGGTCAAGTTTCTTTGCCCAGTGTAAGGGGATTGTCTCCCGGGGGTTGGCAGGGTGCTGTCCAAGTAGGCCCAACCCTTTGTTTTTTTGAGGCCTGCCCCCAGGTCCCCCTGATGCTGCGGGTGCTGCGGTGGTTAGTATTTTCCCTCACTGCGCGGGTGTGAAAAAAAGCTACTCATCATGGGACGGGCAACTGAGGCACCCGTTTGGGGTTTGGAGCTGCCACTGCTCCTACCACCCCCCCCCTCCCCGGGCTGCCATGGCAGGGGAAACGGGGGGGGAAGCGCACGGGGCCCCAACGTGTCTAAAGGAGGGGACGTTGGCGCAGAAAGGGCGGGAGACCAACTGACAAATTTGGTGGTTTTTTTTAGAAAGTTTTTTTGGCCTCCCCTCCGGCAGGGGGTTGAAAAAGGCCCCCATTTTTGAACGGAAGCGAGGGTCCAACAAGGGGGCACCCCAAAAGCCCACCCCTCTGTCTGAGGGAAAAATTATTCGGCTGTCGCTACGCAAGAAACCCCGAGAGGGCTAGGGGCCATTTGTCCCAAAGGGAAATGGGGAGGGACCCCCTTGCCCTTCCATCTCCAAGCATACGGGCCAACTTTTGCTTTGGGGGCCTCTGTCCCCTTTCCTCCCCCCTTCCCAGATGCTCCGGGCCCCCTCCTTCCGGTCCGCGGGAGTGGAAAACCCCCCTTTTAAATCAATTTTTCCGGGACCCACCAATGCCCTTCTCTACCTCCCCCTTTTCTTTTCCTGTCCTCCCCCCCGGGGGTATGGGGCGTTAAGATTTTGTGCGCCAGGTCTACCGCCCCCCTGACCACCCATTTTTAAACCCGGGCATTTGTTCCACCCCCGTTGAAACCCGGGAAAAAATGCCCGGTCATTTATCCCATAGTCCTCCCGGGACTCCGAATAGCGGGGCCTCCTAAAAGGGGCCCCGGCAAGGGGCCCGGTGTCAGAAATGAGCTGCCAATGGCTGAAAATCGATTTTACCCGGGGGTTTCCCTTTATGCCTTGAAACATGGGAAATCGGTGGATGGCCTTTCGCTGTTCGTTAAAGGGGGTTTCTAACATTTTGTAAGGGTTGAATTCCCCCTTTGTTGAAACGTGGGGCCAAAATCGGGGGTGCTGTGGATTTTTTTCTCCCGGGGCAGTAAAGGGGGTTTTGTGCTTTGGGGGTGTAGGAATGGTTTGAAATGCATCCCAAATTTTAGGGGCTTTTTAAAGGATGTCTTGCGGGGGTGGTGGTTTTTTGGAAACCCCGTTTGGGACAACCAGATTGAACACGGGGAGCATCCCATGGCGCATGGAAAACCCCCTTTCCCTTTGGGACGCAGAGCTAGGAAAACCCATGTTTTTTTCCGTTGTCGGTCAACATGGTTCGATTTTCGTTTGCGCGGGGGACAGCCATCTGTCGATTTCTCTGTTATTCCCACTCAGAAGTTCCTCCCTTTGTGTGATACGTTCGCCAAGGCATAACTGGTGCAGCACAGGTGACACTGTTGCGCCCTGCACATGTGATATGCCGGTCGGGGGTATTGGGATTGGCTCGGGCGGTGGCGGCTTGAGGGACACGGCGGAAGAAGAGGGTAGGTAGAGGCGGACATTCTTTTCTGGACCATGGACGTCAAACCGGGAGACAAAAGCGGCGTGACCTATGCAAGGTGCTGGTGGGCTGTGCTGGCACCACGTTCACCCTGTGGGGGGGGCACGTTAAATGACATGTACTGTCCCTGACGTAGTTACAGATCCACACGTCGGCGCTGTTTGCCCTGTGCACTTTGGCAGAGACGACATGCTCAAAGACTGGCCCACCATCTCGTCTACATGTGTAATTGACAGGGGGTGGCACCTGCCTTGTTTGGCGAAGAAATGCCGGCTTGGCACTCACTCTCACCGTGGCACTGGCACTAAGCCATCAGTTCTCGAGAAAGGACAGGTGCTGAGTCCACCACTTGGAAAGGGAATGGGACTGCTGAGCACCAGCAACTTGGACAGGAGGACGTTCAGCTTTTGTCACCGTCGGGTGCTGTGCTCGCAAAAACTGTTGTCTTCTTGGAAAACGGAATTCTAAGAAAGACTGCTGACGGAACTCCGTGATAGGGGAAGTAGCAGGAGAAGGAGCATACCTGAACGAGCGGGAAGCTGCCAGACTGAGCGACAACTCACTCTTCAGCAGAGGTTTGTTGGAGCCTTAGACTGGCTGATTAGAGGGCGAATTGATGTTCGGGTGACGGCAGCAGAGTTAACTGAGAGAGCGTGATGGAAGCGGGGGCTTGGCGGCAGGCAAGAAACCGCCGTATCTTTATCACGGTTTCCCAGCGACGCCAAATGGCTGACGCTCCTGGCATATGCTGTCGCAACGCTGTTGAGTCCCAACATGGGCCCCCTGGCCACTTCGCTTGACCCTTTCTGGCACACATAGTCGACATTACGGCTACGTTTACTTCCTCGGCGGTCTTGTCGATAAAATTTTGCACACACCGCCGCAGTAGGAAACTTTGCCCCCGATACTCCTCACTGGCTGACTGCTACTTCCTCTACGTGCACAACGGCACCACTACTGGCCGTTATAAGGTGGTAGGCTGCAGTGGAGCTGGTGCTCTACTCCATGGCCGTTTGCCTCCACTGACACTGCTGCGACCCTGCTGCCTCCTGGGCAACCCACCGACTGTTTTGCTCGCTGCCAAGCTGGCACCCCTCTTCTCCTGATGATTGCGGAAGCAATAGCCTGATGACGACGAGGCTGCCAAGTGCGATCAGCCTCTCTCATCATTCAATTAGGGTCTCCGCCTCACTACTAGCCCCCTCGGCTGCGTGTGGGTCAGGAGACAGACCTGTCTCTAGACGGCTACCGAGCCACTCTCCTCGCCAGTACTTCTTCGCCTGGCTGCTGAAGAGGCGGATGTCTCTCCCCGTTCCTGACCGCCCTCTGTTAGCTCTTCCTCACTGTACAGTGGGGCTGAGGCACACATGCGATTACTTCGCTTGGTGAGGGGAACAGCAAAAGGACAGGGGAAGGTAGAGGACACGTGATTTCAGTGGGCTTGCTCCCGGGCCATTGCCATCTATGGTTGTGTCTGAACGTACCCACCTGCACCGTTGGCGTCTGTAGGTGGTTGTCAGAGGTGACATGGGAAAGAGGATGACGGGATCCGAGCCCACCGACCGTTGGATGTATGGTGTTCAGACCAATCGGGGCATGGCGAGCACACCAATCGTGGTTCTAGTTGTCGGTGGAGAACACGATCGCTGGATGACACCGGGACGGGAGCACTGGCTGCCTCGACCCCTTCCTCTAGGCTGCCACGTCTGCTCGACTCCTAAAAACATTGGCCTCCTCTGCCACAATCCTCTGCGTGTTGTCTGACATACTCTTTACAATTAAACGATTCTGTGTCCCTGAGTAACAATTCTGTGTCCCTCAGTAAACAATTCTGTGTCTGTCCTGAGTAACAATTCTGTGTCCCTGATTAACAATTCTGTGTCCGCTCCGTAAACAATTCTGTGTCCCTCAGTAACAATTCTGTGTCTGTCCCTGAGTAACAATTCTGTGTCCCTGAGTAACAATTCTGTGTCCCTGAGTAAAATTTCTGTGTACCTCAGTAAACCAATTTCTGTGTCCCCTTCAGTAAAAACAATTCTGTGTCCCTCTCAGTAACAATTCTGTGTCCCTCTCAGTAGACAATTCTGTGTCTGTCCAGTAACAATTCTGTGTTCTGAGTCCCTCAGTAACAATTCTGTGTCCCTCAGTAACAATTCTGTGTCCTGTCCAATTTGCTGTGTCCCTAACAATTTCTGTGTCCCTCAGTAACAATTCTGTGTCCCTCAGTAAACAAATTCTGTGTCTGTCTCCCTGAGTAAACAATTCTGTGTTCCCTGAGTAACAATTCTGTGTCCCTGAGTAACAATTCTGTGTCTGTCCTGAGTAACAATTCTGTGTCCCTCAGTAAACAATTCTGTGTCTGTCCCTGAGTAACAATTCTGTGTCCCTGAGTAACAATTCTGTGTCCCTGCAGTAACCAAATTCTGTGTGTGTCCATGAGTAACAATTCTGTGTCCCTCAGTAACAAATTCTGTGTCCTGTTTTGTCTGTCCCTGAGTAACAATTCTGTGTCCCTGAGTAAACAATTCTGTGTCCCTGTAACAATTCTGAGTCCCTCAGTAACAATTTCTGTGTCTGTCCCTGAGTAACATTTCTGTTCAGTCTGTCCCTGAGTAACAATTCTGGATTAGTGTCTGTCCTCTGAGTAACAATTCTGTGTCCCTCAGTCCCCAGTAACAATTCTGTGTCCCTCAGTAACAATTCTGTGGTCCCTCTAGTAACAATTCTGGTGTCCCTGGTAACAATTGTGAAAGTGTCTGTCCTCCTGAGTAAACAATTCTGTGTCTGTCCTTCTGAGTAACAATTCTGTGTCTGTCCCTGAGTAACAATTCTGTGTCCCTCAGTCAACAATTCTGTGTCCATTAGTAACAATTTCTGTGTCCCTCAGTAACAATTCTGTGTTCTGTCCCTGAGTAACAATTCTGTG